TCTGAGCTTTCTGACTGACTTGGTTATACTGGATGACCTTGGGCTAGTTAAAATTTGGTTTCCTTATCTTTAGGGCAGATAAACCCATTTCTTACCTACTTTGATGTCATAAGCATGTGGTTAAAAAAAACAGGATGCCAAACTGGGCGAAGTAGCTCATGCTTATAATCCCAGTACTTTGAGAGGCAGAGGCAAGAGGATTGTCAGAGCCCACGGGTTTGAGACCAGCCTGGGCAGCTTGGTGAGACCTCATTTCTATAATAAATAAAAAAATTAGCCAGGCATGGTGGTGTGTGCCTGTAGTTCCAGCTGAACTGAAGTGGAAGGATCACCTGAGCCCAGCAGGTCAAGGCTGCTGTGGCAGTGTACGTGCCATTGCACTCCAGCCTGGGTGGCAAAGTGAGACTCCAACTCCAAAAAAAAAAAAAAAAAACGGATGCCAACATTTTGAGCTTCTGAGACATGAGCTATTCTTAACCCATCAATGAATTTCATTCTCTACTTTAGTACTTTAGGGAGACACTGGGAAGTCTAGCAGAAGATGCCAGCTGATTAGATACATCATACCTCCACTGTTTACGTAGTAAACTCTGAACCTGACTCTCTTATAGGCTCCACAAGGTTCTATCTGTCTGTTAATCATACTCTTTAATGGGCTAGAGTTAAAAACAGGGCATTTCATGTGTGTAACTATACTCAAATATGTATAAACAGAAGAATTTTCTATGATTTTTTTTGTTTTGAGTAGGAGTCTCACTCTGTTGCCCATGCTGGAGTACAGAGACACATTCACAGCTACCACAGCCCCAATCTGCTGGGCTCAGGTGATCCTTCTGCCTCAGCATTCCAAGTAGCTGAAACCACAGGTGCATGCCACCACATCCAACTAATTTTTTGATTTACCGTAGCGACAAGGTCTTGCCAAGTTGCCTAGGCTGGTCTCGAATCCCTGGGCTCAGGCAATCCTCTCCCGTGGTCTCCTAAAGTGTTGGGATTACAGGCGTGAGCCACTGCACCCTGCTGATATATATATATATATATATATATATATATATTTTTTTTTTTTTTTAAAGACTAGTCAAATGAAGCAGTGGGAATGGAGAAGAAACAATAGTTGTGATCAATTAGTTGTAAACACCACTGCACTTGGACCAGTCAGCAGTAGAGCTTTCTGTTCTTTTTTTTTTTTTTTTTAAAGACATAAGGTCTTGCTCTGTTGCCCAGGTTGGAGTACAGTGGCACAATCATAGCTTACTGCAGCTTCTAACTCCTAGGCTCAAGCAGTTCCTGCCTCCCAAAGCACTGCAATTACAGGTGTATGCCATCACATCCAGCTAATTTTTTTTAATGTTTTCTGTAGAGATGGGGATCACTATGTTGCCTGGGCTAGTCTCAAACTACTGGGCTCAAGTAAGTAATCTTCTCACCTCAGCCTTCCAAAACATTGGGATTACAAGTGTGTACCTGGCCCCAGAATTTTCTTTCTTTCTTTTGTTTGAGTCGAAGTCTCACTCTGTTGCCCAGGCTGGAGTGCAGTGACATGCTCACAGCCAACACAGCCTCGACCTGCTGGACTCAGGCGATCCTTCCGCCTTAGGCTTCCAAGTAGCCAGAACTACAGGCGTGTGCTACCACACCTGGCTAATTTTTTTATTTTATTATAGAGACAAGGTCTCACCATGTTACCCAGGCTGGTCTCCAACCCGCGGGCTCAGGCAATCCTCTCGCTTTGGCCTCTCAAAGTGCTGGGATTATGGACCTGATCCACCGCGCCCAGCCCAGAATTTTCTTAATAAAAGTTTATATACAAGAGGGGCCCTAAAAAACCTGGAATTATCTTTTGGGGGGGAGGCTCCTTGTAAGTATACTCAGAATTTGTTCCTCTGGATCAAATGGTCAACAAAAGTTTTTATTTGGCAGTTTTGAAAAAGTTGCATCACAATTTGCAGAAGAAACATCTTGAGTGATGGCAGACAGGTGACTGGTTCTTCTGCCATGACAAGGAACCTGCCCACACCACAATGAGTGTTCAGCGGTTTTTGATCAAAAATGGCGCAACTCCCATGCCCCACCCTCCCTATTCACGAAAACTTGAGCGACTTTTTTTTGTTTCCTGATGGAAAGAGCCCTCAGCTGGGTGCAGTGGCTCATGCCTATAATACCAGCACTTTGGGAGGCAGAGGCAAGAGGATTGCCAGAGCCCATGGGTTCGAGACCAGTCTGGACAACATGGAGAGATCTCATCTCTATAATAAATCTTTAAAAATTTGCTGGGCGTGGTAGCATGTGCCTGTAGTTCCAGCTACTTGGAAGACTGAAGTGGAAGGATCACCTGAGCCCAGCAGGTTGAGGCTGCGGTGGCCATGAGCATGCCACTGCACTTCAGCCTGGGCGACAGAGTAAGACGCCAACTCAAAAAAAATAAAGAAAAGAAAAAAGTCCTCAAAGGGAAACGTTTTGCCAATGTGAAAGAAGTGAAACAATAAACAAAAACTAAAAGGCATCAAAATTGACAAGTTCAAAAGCTGTTCTGAGCAGTAGGGAAAGTGTCTTGAAAGGTTTATTTCATCAAATGGAGAGTACTTTGAAGGTGACTGAAGTTTAAACATGTAAGAATAAATATGCAACTTTTTATAAGTAAAGCCAGGATTTTTATGGGTCCCCTTCATACTTAAAAACATTTTGGTGACTTGGTAGGGAGTAAGGAGAAATACTATTTATATTTGGAAAAGATTGTTTTCTTTAGAAAGTGTAGAATTGTTGATTCTATAAATATAGAGTATTCTACAGCTTTAAATACAGGCACCAGGCCAAGTTAAAGTATCATATGTAAATCAGCAACCTTCTTCAACAAGGTCAAGTGTGGTGTGGTGGTTTAAGGAGTGAAAAGGCCAAGCGTTTTAGAAACATGCACACCTGAGTTTGCATTTTGGCAAACTTCTTGACTGAGCTTCTGGGATGTTGTTTTTTTTCATCTATAGAATAAAAATAATAACATTACCTCCTGCCTAGTGGTCGTATTGAAGATAAACTACCTTTTAAAAAAATTAGTATTTCCACTGGCAATTGGGGGCTGTGGGTATCTTAATAAATAGTTAGAAAATTATGAGGTAAATTTTAGCTCAGCCTTGGTTTACCCCTTTGGTGTAGAGGCCAGAGATTCTTCAAGGTGGTAGAAGCAGCTGTGTTTTATGTTGTTACTTTCCCCTCTCTTATGTCCTCATGGACTCTCTGCTTTCTTATCTGTTGCTGTCTTCCAATTTTTCTTTTCTGGCATTATCTCTAACATTTTGAAACCTCCTCTGAATTAATTCTCTTCATCATATCTTCAAATGTCCATACTTGAATACAATGGACATACTTCTAGCCTTTGTCCCTGCTCCATGGCAGATATGTTTTTGTCTCAAAACTGTAGACCTCTAGATCTGAAGGAAACACTGTGAGCCACATAAAAAGTTTTTAATTAAAACATTCTAATGGTCACTCTCCTACATATTAGCAGTATGTAGGAGAGGGAAAACTTTTCTTCTACCCTCTTGGACCAAGTGCCCATGACTTGTGAATCAAACAGATGAAAGGCAGATTAAGAGGAGAAAAAACAGACAAATTTTATTGATGTTAATGTTTTTAATTTTACATGAGCATGGGTTTCACTGAAAAGAAGTAAAAACCAAAGAAGTGGTTAGATGTGAAGGTTTATATACCATTTTAACAAAGGGCAATAAATTGTGGAGAACTGCCTAGATGAAGGAAAGCTTAGGCTCCTAGGCAGTAAATTGTGGGAAATGTATGGTAGATAAGGTTTGTTTAGTAACGTTTGTTATGCATACTTATCTTGTACAGTCTCCAGGGTTTAAGAGTCTTCTCTTCCTGTTATGGGAGAAAGGGGCACCTTTATAGATGGAAGTTTCCTTACAAAAGGAAGATTTATGTCCTGCTTTTAGGAAGACGGGGAATGGCAGATAGCCCCTCTAGTGTCTGCTGTTTCTTATAGCCCTTAGCTCAAAATAATCTTTATGCCAAAGTGACATATTCTGGGAGTCTACATTCTGTTCAAATACAATAGTTGGGAAAACATATTCAATTTTATGAAACTATAGAAGGTAAATATATGTTCAAATGTAGTCATGGCTAGAGACAGAAACAGACATAGCTATGTGAGGGGGGACCCCAAAACCCCAGAATTTATTTATAAAAAATTGTGTATTTATTCCTACATGTCAGTCACCTTCAAAGTACTCTCTATTTGATGCAGTACACCTATTGAGATGCTTTTTCCATTGCTCAAAACAGTTTTGGAACTCAGTTTTGATGGCTTTGTGTGTTTCTGCCATTTTTTGTTTCACTTCTCCCACCTTGGCAAAACCACTTCCCTTTGAGGATTTTTTTTCACCCAGAGAAACAAAGAAAAAGGTCACTTGGGGCGAGATTAGGGCACAGGGGTCATGTCATTTTTGGTGAAAAACCGCTGAACACTCAGCATGGTATGGGCAGGTATGTTGTCATATGGAGGAACCTGTTTGCCACAACTTGGAATATTTCCTCAGCAAATCATGAAGTAACCTTCTCAGAACTTCCAGATTAAAAACTTTCATTGACCGTTTGATCTAAAGGAACAAATTCCAACTGTACTCCAGGAAGCCTGCCCTCCAAAAGATAATTCCAGGTTTTTTGGGTCCTCCCTTGTATAATCATTTGTCCCCTCAGTCACTAGTGTTTTGAACCCAGCTAGCATACCTCTTTGTATAACATGCCCTTTACTAATTTGTTTTGTTTGCATGGTGAACATATGATTATTTTATTGATTTGAAAAACAAACAACAGGGACTCCCTGTACTCCTTGTATAGCAATAAGGTTGTCCTATTGGTCATCTTGAGGTTCCTAACCGTGACTTCTACTTGTATTTATATCACAATGCCTATAGTAAAAGTGCCAGTGACTGACTTGCACTTACAGATGATTATATATTTTTCCATTTTGATTTTCTTTCTGACAGCAGCAGCGTGCAGGGTCAAAGACAGCCGGCCCCCCATGTCAGTGGTCTAGGATGGCCAGTGAAGGCGCCAACATCCCAAGTCCTGTGGTGCGCCAGATTGACAAGCAGTTTCTGATTTGCAGTATATGCCTGGAACGGTACAAGAATCCCAAGGTTCTCCCCTGTCTGCACACTTTCTGCGAGAGGTAAGCCTCCTCTGTGCTTGGAGAAGAGAGTTTCACAGGCTAACCTCCTACCACTTTCCATAGGATTCTTTCCCAGAATTCTACAGTTACCTCTGTGAGACAATGAATCTTCTGTGCTTCTGATAGACATTGAAAAACTGAATCATCCGGGCTCAGTGGCTCAGCCTGTAATCCCGCGCCTTTGGGAGGCTGAGGTGAGTGGATTGCCTGAGCCTGCAGGTTCGAGACCCGCCTGGGTAACTTGGCGAGACCTCATCTCTACAGTAATTCAAAAAATTAGCCGGGCATGGTAGCGCATGCCAGTAGTTCCTTGGAAGGCTGAGGCGGAAGGATCGCCGGAGCCCAGTAGGTCGAGGCTGCGGTGGCTGGGAGCGGCCACTGCATTCCAGTCTGGGCGACAAAGTGAGACTCCAACTCAAAAAAAAGAAAAAAAAACTGAATCATGATTTGCCAATAATTTACTTTATTTCAAACCATTGCAAGTGGGAAAAAGCAATTCAATAACTACTTATTTGTTTCCACAAGAGATGGAACATTAAATACATATTTTAAGAGGAAAAAATTTGACCAAGTATAGGAGCTCACACCTATAATCCCATCGTTTTGGGAGGCCAAGGCAGGAAGATTGCTTAAAACCAGGAATTTGAGGCCAGCCTGAGCATGTCATAGCAAGACCTTGTCGCTACCAAAAAAAAAAAAAATTAGCCTGTCATGGTGGTGCATACTTGAAGTCCCAACTGCTCAAGGAGATTGAGGTAGAAGAATCACTTGAGGCCAGGAATTTGAAATCATCCTGGGCAATATAATAAGCCTGGGCAATATAATTTTCTACAAAAATTTAAAATATAATAATAAAATGAGGTGAAAACATTTTAAAAATTTTCCTTGGTTCTCTATGAAACAATTTTTTGTCAACAGCACTTTCCTGTAGAGGGTCTTTGGCGAGAATCAATTACAAATCTATCATTTCCTCCCATATAACAAGTCAAATAAAATATCTGCATATCTGAAGGGTTAGTTCAAAGGGCAGAGCTTCCTTTCCAAAGATATTTCAGACACATACTAGTGTCATATTTGAACACTGATATTTTATATAATATATATAATAAATTACTTGACTATATAATCTGCATATGAAGCTGCACTTCCTTATTTATCCTTCGAGCTAAGGTATTTTTTTTTTTTTTGGAAGGAGTTATTATCAAAGTACACTTTTAACCCATTGTTTAACTCATTCTATAAGCAGTTAAGCATAAGAAGTTTGTTAATAATTAGTTCATCTGTGACTTATTTTAAGTATTTTCTTAGAAAGGTTATATACTTTCTTAAAAACAAACATGGTAATTATAGCATTTTGTTAAATATGTTTTCTGTATTATTTAATGCACATAAATAAAATGCTTTACTTCCCATTATAGAACAGGAAGCCAGTATTTCAAATGGCTTCAAATCTATGTTGATTACATTTATCATCTGATTTAACATACGTTTAGTATTTGACCATTCTACGTGTTGATTTACTTTGGAACATCTGAATTGTAAAAGAATAACCACATCTTTGGTTGTGGTGATGGATGGAGGGAGAAGGTAAATTTGTCCTTAGTGGTTTTTTATTTGTTTTAGGTTGTTGTGGGATTGTGTGTGTGTGTGTGTGTGTGTGTGTGTGTGTGTATGTGTAGGATGTTTTGTTTGTTTGTTTTAGTGGTAGTATACAAGGCACCTGTACTTTTTATTTTATTCATTTTATACTTTGGTTTAAGTGCTTTGTAGTTCATATTCCAAAATAATTTAATAGTATGTGATTTAATGAGTGTAGTAAAACTCACTTAATGGGTGTAGCTAGGCATGAATACCAGCTGACTGTCCATGTGTTCCTGGCACACATGGTAAGATCACTTGACTTCCAGCAGTTGGCATAGCCTGGCAGGCACTCTGTATACAACACTGAGAGCCACTGAGTCTGAGCTTGGGAGAACTGCCCTATTTCTCGGTGTCCAATGCCCAGCCAGTCTGTGTTTTAGGGTCCTATTTCCTCACTCTGACAGGTGAGAAGCAACACTTCTGGGCTGCCCTGGGTTTTCCCATGCCCTCTCCACTGGGTCAAGCTCAACTCACCTCTGCTCCCCATGCTACTATAGTAAGTCCCAGTGGAATGCTATGTATTAAAATTGTTCTAGCATCGTGCACATTGAAATGACTTCTTTTGAAGGTGCAGATGACTTTTCATAAGGTGGGAAAATTATATTTTTGTAGAGACAAAACTTCACAGTTTGTCTTGTTATTGGACCAAACTTGAGTCTGCTTGCCCAGCATACGATAAAAGCTAAACGCTGACACTGGGATTTGAAGAGAGAGAAAGTAAGGCATTTATTGCAGGGTACCAAGCAAGGAGAATCGAGCAGCTGACATTTAGACTTGACCTCCCCAATGACTTACAAGCAAGGAGTTTTTTGCTTTTTTTTTTTTTTTGAGTTGGAGTCTCACTTGGTTGCCCAGACTGGAGTGCAGTGGCCGCTCCCAGCCACCACAGCCTCGACCTGCTGGGCTCCGGCAGCGATCCTTCCACTTCAGCCTTCCGAGTAGCTGGTTGGTTTTTTTTTTTAATTGGAGTCTCACTCTGTTGCCCAGGCTATAATGCAGTGGCACACTCACAGTCACCTCAGCGTCAACCTGCTGGGCTCTGGCAATTCTTCCACCTCAGCCTTCCAAGTAGCCGGAACTACAGGTGTATGCTACCATGCCTGGCTAATTTTCGATTTATTGTAGAGACGAGGTCTTGCCAGGTTGCCTGAGCTGGTCTCGAACCCAGGGGCTCAGGCAATTCACTTGCCTTGGCCTCCCAAAGTGCTGGGATTACAGGCTGAGCCACCGAGCCCAGCCACAAGCAAGGGGTTTTAAAGGCAGTGGGACATTTGAGGAAAGCAGAAGTCACAGGCAAAACTATAACTCAACACATGGAGGTTATACATCAATTTAGCACAAAAAGACAGGAATTCAGAGGTTCTTTGATTTGCAATTGTTTAATTCAGAGGTTCTTTGATTTGCAATTTTTTAAGGAAGCAACTTCGTCAAAAAATTTGAGATTGGCAGAAAGGAATGTTAAAGTGGCCAGTGGGCCCCTAAAGAAGAAATTTAGAACTTCTTAACTTGGGTGACCATTGTTTTTTGTTTATTTGTTTTTGAGTTGAAGTCTCACTGTATTCCAGGCTGGAGTGCAGTGGCATACTCATAGCCACCACAGCCTCGACCTGCTGGGCTCAGGTGATCCTTCCACCTCAGTCTTCCAAGTAGCTGGAACTACAGGCATGCGCCACCACGCCCGGCTAATTTTTTTGATTTATTGTAGAGATGAGGTCTCACCAAGTTGCCCACTCTGGTCTCAAACCCCTAGACTCCGACAATCATCTTGCCTTGGCCTCCCAAAGTGCTGAAATTATAGGCTTGAGCCACCACACTCAGCTGGATGACTATTGTTTAAACTGTGATTATCCTTGCTGAGTGGGTTATTCATTTACTTCTCTAATTGATATTTGCTTGGCTACCTAGGTGCCTGGATTTTCTCTTGAAAGGACGCAAAGTTCATTTGTCTCCATGCAGGGGCCAGGGAGAAGGGGGCAGCAGGCCCCTAAGAAGGGTCCCTGTTCTATCTCAGTCTGACTTTCAGGAGAGTGCGCCCTGGGACCCCTATGTCTAACTTATGCTGGACACACACAGTTGCCTTCCTACTCCCCACATCTTCAAGACACATCAGCGGGACTTGAAGGAGATGGAAATGAGACACAGTCACTGGCCTTATGGTGCTTACAACCCAAGGGAGGAGCCAGTCATTAACTCCCAGTCACTCAGATTCATGTAAAATTAAACCAGTGAGAAGTTCTATACATACACACACAGGAAACCATATGATAGGGCATTTAGCCCTAATCAGGGAAGGCTTCCCTGCAGAAGTGATGATTAAGCAGGAACCCCAACACTGAGTAAAAATTAACTAAGCAGAGGTGAGTGAGTAGCAAGAAAGAATTTCAGGTATATGTGAAGGTGCTATAGCGACAGGGGACCACAAGACTTTGGAAGAACTTAAATAAGCCTGCTGTGGTTAGTATGCAGCAAATGAGGGAAGAGACAGATGTACAGGTCTAGATCATATGGATGCATGAGCCATATTATCAAATGTGAATTCTTGGCTTTGTTGTAAGAACAGTGGGAGCTGTGGCAGAATTTTTACCTCGGATGGACAAGGAGGGAGATTTTATTTACTCTCTCTCTCTATATATATGTTTATTATATATATGTTTATATATATATGCTTATTTATTTATTTATTTGAGTCAGGGTCTCACTCTCACCCAGGCTCGAGTGCAGTGGCATGATCATGGCTCACTGCAGCTTCAGCCTCCTGGGCTCAGGCAATGCTTCTTTTTTTTTTAGTTGGGATCTCACTGTCACCCAGGTTGGAGTGCAGTGGCATGCTCACAGCCACCGCAGCCTCAACCTGCAGGCTCAGATGATCCTTCTGTCTCAGTCTTCCAAGTAATTGGGACCACTGGCATGTGCCACCAAGCCTGACTAATTTTTTTATTTATTGTAGAGATGAGGTCTCATCAAGTTGACCAGGCAGGTCTTGAACCCGTGGGCTCAAGTAGTCCTCTTATGTCTGCCTCCCAAAGTGCTGGGGTTATATGCGTGAGCCACCACACCTGGCCAGGCTATCCTTCTGCCTCAGCCTCCCGAGTAGCTGGGACTACAAGCACACGCCACCATGCCTGGCTAATTTTTTGAGTTTTTGTAGAGATGAGGTCTCGCTATGTTGCCCAGGCTGGTCTTGAACTCTTGGGCTGAAGCGATCCTTCTACTTTGGCCTTCCAAAACGCTGGGATTACAGACTTGGGTCACCTCACCTGGCGGTGGAAGGAGGAAGATTTAAGTGGTTGGTTTTGAGTTTTGAGAAGCTCACCCTGGTTGCAGTGTGGAGAAGGGTGTAAGAGTGAATGACAATATGCCAGGTATGAGTCTGTTGCAGAAGTCTAAGTAAGAGCGGTCTAGTAGGGATGAAGGGAACTGGAGGGGCTGGAGAGATGTTCAGGAATTTACAGGCTTTGGTGATGGGTTGGATATAGGAAATCCAGGACAACTGGGAGCTACAGTCTTAAGAATGACTTCTACACCGGGCGTGGTGGCTTACACCTATAATCCTAGCACTTTGAGAAACAGAGGCGAGAGAATTGCCTGAGCTCACTGGTTCGAGACCAGCCTGGGCAACATGGCGAGACCTCGTCTTTACAATTAATCAAAAAATTAGCCGAGCATGGTGGTGTACATCTGTAGTTCCAGCTACTTGAAAGGCTGAGGTGGAAGGATCACCTGAGCCCAGTAGGTCAAGGCTATGGTGACCGTAAGTGTGCCACTGCACTGGGCAATAAAGCGAGACTCCGACTCAAAAAAAAAAAAAAAAAGAATTACTTCCAGTTTCTGGTTTGCTTGGATGAATGTATGGAAGTGCCATTCACCAAGACAGGAAGTGGATACCATTTGGGGGAAGACCATGGGTTTGGTTTTGGACATGTTGAGTTTGAGGACCTGTGAGGCAAAAAGGCAGTTGATAGAGACATCTCTGGGAAGAAAATATAAATGTGGGAGTGTTCAGCTTGTAGCTGTGCACATGGATAGAACATTCCAAAGAGAGAAGAGGACTTCTGATGGAGCCTTATGAACTCGACTGTATGGTCTCAGAAAAGACAGAGTAGACAGAACGAGAACCAAGTGTGTGTAGGGTCATAGAGTCAAGGGAAGGTAAAACTTCCAAAAATCCACAGAGGATGGAGGGCAATGGTAAGCGTGATACATGCTGCTGAGAAGTCTAGTGAGATGGGATTTTAAAATGTCTATTGGAATCACTTCTCACACTTTCAGCAAAGAACAAATGAAAGATGTCTGTTGGGTTGCGATGTCATTAGTGACCTTAGCAAAAGGCATTTCACTTCTGGTAGTGACTCAGCATTAGCTACCTCCATGACACAGATCAGTGAGCCCCCTTGATGGCAGCATTTCCATCTGCAAGATAAAGGAAATGGGCAAACTCAGTGGTTTTTTAATTCTTTTTGGTTAAGCTCTGGCTAAGACGATTGAAATAATAAAATCAATCTTCATGGTGTCTGCTTGACACATATTGTTGGTAGCCTCCAGAGAGCAAACCAGGAGTTATTTTGCAAGCTGGGCATACTCTGACCCACATAAACATCTGTCTAATAGTATAGTCTGGTTATTTAGAACTTAGATTATGGTGTTCAGCTGCCTGGATTTGAATTCCTCTTCTGCCCCTGACCAGCTAAGTATTCTTGGCCTCTTTCTGCCTGTCTTTTGTGTAAAGGTGTCATAATAATACCTCCTTCACTGGCTTATTGGAAGTAATTTGAATTTGGTGAGCACCATATATGTGAGTCGTTATTAGTGATGTGCTTCTTTAATTAAATGAATTAAGTTGATACCTGTTGAGGAGAGGCAAGAAGAAGCGGTGTGGCTCTCACTCTGGGTGTCCTCCCCCTGCCTCAACCAAACATTTTCACATTGATGTGTTTTTATTTAGTTCATTTAATTATTTATTTTTTGATTTGGGGTCTTGCTCTATTGTCCAGGCTGGGGTGCAGTGGCACGATCGTGACTCACTGCAGCCTCCACCTCCTGAGCTCAGATGATCCTGCTTCCTAAGCCTCCCGAGTAGCTGGGACTAGACTACAGGCAGGCGCCACCACGCCCTGCTAATTTAAGAAAAATTTTTGTAGAAGCGCAATCTCGCTCTGTTGCCCAAGTTGGTCTCAAACTACTAGACTCAAGCGTTTCACCCAGCTCAGCCTCCCAAAGTGTTGGGATTACAGGAGCCACCATGCTCGGCCTGATGTGTCTTTAATGTCTGATTATGATTTTTTTTGAGTTGGCGTCTCAACTCTGTTGCTCAGACTGGAGTGCAGTGGCCACTCCTGGCCACCGCAGCCTCAACCTGCTGTGCTCCGGCGATCCTTCCGCCTCAGCCTTCC